ATCCAGTGGAGCTTGCCCGTACAAAGCATCAGAACTGTCAAGCTGACGGCAGCTCTCAATGAACACATAGATCAGAATGCAGCAAGTCAGGTGGATACCAACGAACTAAACAAGATTCGATGGTTTATTAAGACAGAGCGGCAGCACACCCAAAGTGATAAACTGCAACAACTGTTGCAACAATTGCCAGAAAACGTGAAAAGAAAAGTAGCTATAGCGCAGGAAGTAGGCGCCTCAAATTGGTTAACAAAGTTACCGATGAGGGCAAAAGGCTTCATCGTTCATAAACAAGAATTCACAGATGCCATTGCTCTAAGGTACGGAAGGGCAGTAGAAGGTTTGTCCTCCCAATGCGGGTGCGGCTCATCTTGCGACATCAATTACGCCATGGTGTATGACGAGGTATGGGATCTAACAGCAAATCCACTGAGGGAAATCTGCCACGACGTAATGGTGGAACCGCCCCTCCTTCCATTGGACGGTGAGAATCTCCGTCACAGGACTTCAAACACATCCAACGAAGCCCGTGTGGACGTCAGTGGTCGAGGATTCTGGACGAGGGGACAGCGAGCTTTTTTTGATATAAGGATTATTGATCCCATGGCCGCATGTCACCGCAACCTAGCCCTCGATGCTGTACCCAGGAGGAACGAGAACGACAAGATTAGAGAATATGGGGAGAGAATTCAGAACGTTGATCAAGGCAGCTTCACTCCTCTGGTGTTCACAACCTCTGGTGGGATAGGACCAAGTGCGAGATGCTTTTACGCCAGACTCGCGGAGGCGCTATCCGAACAGAAGCAGCAGCCCAGAAGTTATGTTACAACCTGGATGAGATGTCGACTATCCTTTTCTCTCCTTAGGTCTGCTTTTCTCTGCCTGAGGGAAACGAGAGCATCGGCCCAAAGCCAACAACAGTAGCAGATATTGACTATGAGGCAACAGTCACTGAATGCCGCATAGATCTGCTGCTCAACTAACTCAACACAGCAAGGATAGCTACTTATATATTAGAATATTTGACATTAAGGTTTTTAAATGGCGGCGAAGTTGTGGCTATTGGGGTGAGGATGGAGGCCATTTTTTTTTTTTGTGGGAAGTAGTAGTGAGAATCCATAATGTAGGCTTCTAGGGGTGGGGTAAGTGCTGAGGCGGATCATCGGAAAATGCATAATGGAGGTGGTGAAGGATGATGTCAGGGCAGAAGCAGGGAACCTGCAAGTTGGTGCTGGCCACCAGGCTGGAGGGGAAGCTGCCATTCACGTCATAAGAATGATATATGAGCAGCGGGATGGTGAGGCCGTTCTCCTGGTGGACGCTTCAAACGCATTCAACATATTTAACCGCAAGGCCGCACTGCACAACATCAAGATCAAGTGTCCAAGCTTTGCAATGTATGTTGAAAACTCACATAGGAATCCATCAGAGCATTATATAGGAAAACAAGACTCTAAGAGGTGATACCATCATACATTCAACCGAGGAAGAAACGCAGGGGGACCCTGTTGCAATGGCAATGTACGCAATAGGCCTATCCGTGCTGCAACACACAATAACGTTTGAAACAACTGAAGTCAAACAAGTGGCATACGCTGATGACCTTTCAGAAGCAGGAAAAGTAGAGGACATCAAAAAGTGGTGGGACCTGGTAACATAACGAGGCCCACAAATAGGGTACCACCCAAACGCCAGCAAGTCCTTCCTCATTGTGAAGCCAGAACATTATGAACGGGCAATGGAGGTGTTCGGTGGAAGTGAGGTCAAAATAACAAAGGATGGGTAAAGACACCTAGGCGCAGTAATCGGCACGACGGACTTCAAGACTGAGTAAGTAACGGGAAAGGAGAATGAGTGGGTTAGGGAAATCCATGCTCTGTCTGAGATTGCTAACACAGAGCCACATGCGGCTTTTGCGGCATTTACCCATGGAGTCAAGGATCGCTGGAACTACCTGATGCGCACTATCTTTGATATCGGACCCCTCCTCAGCTCTCTGGAAGAAGCTATCAGCGTCAATTTCATTCCCAAATCAGTGAAACTCCCTCAATTATCCCCAGCAGAAAGATGCACAACCACCGAGACTGGGAGGAATTGGACTGACCAATCCAGAGGAGATTGCTGCCAAAGAACATCAAAACTCAGTTAAGCTCACTGCAGCCCTCACGGACCACATAATACAGTAGCTCAGAACACAACAGGGGAGGTGGATACCATTGAAGTAAACAAGATTCGTAGGTCCATTACGACAGAACGACAGCACAGCCGAAGTGATAAGTTGCAGCAACTGTTGCTGCAAGTACCAGAGAATTTGAAAAAATAGTAGCTATAGCGCAGGTGGTGGGCGCCGCGAACTGGTTCACTACGTTACCGATAAGGGCAAGTGGTTTCAGTCTCAATAAACAAGAATTCACAGATGCCATTGCTCTAAGGTACGGTATGCTAGTAGAAGGTTTGCCCTCCCAATGCAGGTGTGGCTCTTCCTATGACGTCGATCACGCCATGGTGTGCAAGAAAGGGGTCTTCATATGTATGAGGCATGACGAGGTATGGGATCTAACAGCAAATCTACTGAGGGAAATCTGCCACGACGTAATGGTGGAACCGACCTTCCTTCCATTGGACAGTGAGAATTTCCAACATAGGACTTCAAACACATCCAACGAAGCCCATGTTGACTTCAGTGCTCGAGCATTATGGACGCCGGGACAGCGAGCCTTCTTCGACATGAGGATTGTTTGTCCAATGGCCGCATGTCACCGTAATTTAGCTCTCGATGCTGCACACAGGAGGAACGAGAACGACAAGATAAGGGCATTGGGGAGAGAATTCAGAACGTTGATGAAGGTAGCTTCACTCCTCTAGTGTTCACAACCTCTGGTGGGATGGTACCAAATGCAAGATGCTGCTACGCCAGACTCGCGAAGGTGAGATCCGAACAGAAGCAGCAGCCCAGAATTTATGTTACAGCCTGGATGAGATGTCGATTGTCCTTCTCTCTCCTTCGGTTAGCTTTGCTCTGCCTCATGGGAATGAGAGCATCGGCCCCAAAGCCGATTTTGACTAAGAGGCTACAGTCACTGAATTCCGCATAGATCTGCGGCTTAACTAACCCAACACAGCTAGGATAGCTACTTATGTATTAGGATATTTAATATTAAGGTAATAAAATGGCGGCGAAGGTGTGGCTATTGGGGGAGGCTGGAGGTCATCTAATAATAAAAAAAGTATTAGTAAGAAGTAGTAATAAGAAACAGAATGGGACTCTTGAGGATCTCCTATGTGAAGCAAGAACACTGCAGGAGAGACTAAAATTTACAGGTGACGGAAAGCAAAACACCGAGCTACATCCGAGCTCAGGTGGTCAGCAGGGAGGTGATGAGTAGAAACAGAAGCAAGAAAGGCATGTTCTCTATGGTGTGCAGCAACACCGGGTCGTAGTAGTAAAACCGGTTTTTGTATTTGATGATTTTGTTTTCTAAAGGAATATTATATTTAATAAATGTGTCAAGATCATTCGTTTCACTATTCTGGATCATTTTCATCCTAATAAATTAACCTGATACATTTACTTTACTTTAAATAAGCTATTTAGTGGTGTTGGTAAAAGGGTGGGAATACTGAATTTTCATAAGATTTCAAGTTAAAATTTCCCTAGCAAAAAATGAAAACTTTTCAAATCTGAAGATATCACATGATTCTGCACATAGAACTACATCATTAATACCATGGGCCGATTTTTCAAACTAAAAAAAAAAAATTCGCCTCCGTATGACACACCCTACTACTCTGGTGTTCACAACCTCTGGTGGGATGGGACCAAGTGCAAGATGCTTTTACGTTAGACTCGTAGGGGTGGTATCCGAACAGAAGCAGCAGCCCAGAAATTATGTTGCAGCCTGAATGAGATGTCGACAGTCCTTCTCTCTCTTTAGGTCGGATTTGCTCTGCCTCAGGGGAACGAGAGCATCGGCTCCAAAGCCGACCACAGTTGCAGATATTGACTATGAGGCAACAGTCACTGATTGCCTCATTGATATGCGGCTCAATTAATGCAACACAGCCAGGATAGCTGCTTATGTATTACGATATTTAATTTTAAGGTAATGAAATGGCGTAAAGGTGTAGCTGTTAGGGGAGGATGGAGGCCACGTTCTAAAAAAAGAGTAGTAAGAAGTAGTAGTAAGAAGCGTTATCCATGGCGTATGTACAATGGTGCATTTTGTTTGGCATATTGAAATATTTTTGGCATGTTACCCTCAACCTATGTAAATAGAAAATTTTTGTATAATTATATGTGATCAGGGCTGGTACTTGATGCACTCAAAATTTTCTGTGTCTATGTAAGTATTTTGCAGCTTAATGTGAGGGTTGTTTAATATTTGTGTTTGGTATGTTGTCCCCTGCAATATTTAGCTTTGTCAGTCGTCAGACGCTGGCAGGCCTTGGCAGTATTAGGACGTCTCAGCTTGTCAGTGGTGGATACCTTTTCAAATAGGGTTTAGTTGAGTATTATTTTCAATGCTGCTATATTATTTTTCATGGTGTGTAAGGTGCAATCATTTATTGTGTTGTAAGGTCCATTATTGTTTATACACGGTGCCAATAGTAGTTGTTTATTCAGGATCATCTTATTTAAATCTTTTGTAATTCGTATATTTCCAAACCTTCTCTCCTGAACTGTTGGGATTAAGAGAGGGCTGTGATTGAATCCATGACCAAGATGTGCTGAGTTGCCAATTTCTTTTTCTGTTGTTTTTTTGTTGTGCCATATGTGCCCTCATTAGTATATTAGTCTTTAACGTAATTCAAGTTGATAAGTTATGGCATAACACATCTAAGAATGAGTTAGGTTAAGACAAGCTAAACTAGGTATTGTTAGACAATAATAAGTCAAGATTGCTGGAAGGTGAATATACTCTACATTATTTATTACATTTCGTCCCATAAATGCAACCAGCTATTAAATTCTTCTTGTGCTGTTTTACAGAAATAAGACGTACCTGTGTTGCGGTGGATCCCTGCACAACTCCATCTCTGGCCGGTGGGTACGACCCTCCAGCCTCGTCTGTACTACCTTAAGCGGTGCAGACTTGTCCAAGATGGCCTTCTTCAGCATATCTATATGACGTTCCAAGTCGTTCATCTCCCTCTGTACCTGTGAAGGAGAAACAAGGAAAACGAACATGTTACTTGTAAGTGCTACCAACCTCTTGCCGGTTAAATCATCGTTTTGTACTTCCAAAACGGATCTCATTTTCCTAATAAATCTTTCATCGTTCTTTTATCCATTCACAGTTTGTCGTTACTAGGCAGCCTTGCTTACACCCAGCCTATTTCTCTCAGTTTGTCATTACTAGGCAGCCCTGCTTACACCCAGCCTATATCCTTTACTCTGTCATTACTACTCATGCTGGCCTCTACAACTCTTTATTTCCTAAATCTAAATTTGTCTAATTCAAAATCATTGCTGCGTGGTTCCTCTTGGTTTGATAGCTAAAGTACCTTTTATTACACCACCTTTGTTTAACCCTGACTTCCATTTATGCGCTTCACTCTACGTCTCTCAAGAAAAGGCAAATTCAAGCTTGGTTAAGGTTTCTACTGTATACTCAAGTTTCCTAATTTTCTTGACACCTTACTCCGAATGCTGTTTAGGGAATTGATATCCTAGTCCAGGGAAATTAGACAATTTTTATGCCGCTATCTTGAAAAAATGGGAGCCGTTCGCGGTTTTTCATGTTTTACTGTTGATTTTAGGGAGATGACACTTAATAACAAAATAAAAGAGCGTAACTTTTGCACATTATTATTCAGCTTTTGTGAAGAATAAATACTTTCCGAGAAAATACAAATTTTGTTTCCACAATAGCTACAATCCCCTTCTAATTTTGACAGTTTAATGTTCCAGTGGGGGGAAAAAACATAATGTCTGCTTTTCTTTTCTATTTTTTAGTTACTAAATTCATGAGACACTCAATCATGTTGACACCACTTTACTTTACCAAAGGATTATCCGTTGTGCAAAAGGTGACGAAGATCTTTCTAACTGCTGCCAATTATCAGTTGTCGCCAATGCCGCCATCTCTCTTTGATGAAATGGGAATGTGGAAATCAAATAAGTCAACACTTTATGATGCTTTCACTTCTACCGAAGAAAGCAGCCTGGACACTGGCAAATGCATTTTTGTTATAGACGGTGGCTTCCTGTTACACCGTGTTTTGTGACCAAAACAAGGCACTTATGATGATATTTATAAAGTTTATGTGCCAAATGTAAAAAGGCATGGGTATGATGAAAGTGCAATGGACAAAATAAATGTTGAAAGACAACGACATAGTTTAAAGAGGAAATCTGTCCAAACAATTTTTTATGCATCAGTGACTATCACCAATATCAATCAAGAAAATTTTCAGTGAAATGATAAAAATAAGTCAAGATTTATTTCTCAGTTATCGGAAAAAAAGGAGAAAACATGTTCACCAAGCTCCTGATGATGCTGACATACACACCATTAACACTGCAATCCAGTTATCTGCTTCCTCTGCATATGTTGCAGTTGTGGGCGAATATGTAGATCTCCTAGTTCTGCTCACTGCATTGACTCCAGGAGACAGGAACATATTTATCTTTAAGCCAGGCAAAGGTAACACTAGGAATCAGTTGTACATAACTGCAGGCTACCCATAAAGATATTAAAGACCACATTCTCTTTTTGCACGCTGCATGTGGCTGTGACACAACATCGTCTGTGTTTCAAAAGGACAAAAGGAAAATTCTGAACTTGTTACAAAAACATAATGACTTACGTTCTATCCTGCACGTTTTTAATAACAGGAATGCCTACCCAGATGAAATTGCTTGAGTTGGAGAACTTTTCCTTCTTGTACTATATCGAGCACCTAACAGTGAAACCTCCTTAAATCAGTATCGCATCAAGAACGTTGACAAAGCAATTGGCCTCAGTAATAGTGCAGTTAAACTTGCAAGACTGCCGCCTACAACAGCAACTGCACGCATGCATTTTCTGCGTGTTCACCATCAAATTCAGTTGTGGCGAGGTAATCTATTACCACCTGACTTTTGGGGATGGAAAATTCACCCTTCAGACAGCAGCTGTAGAGTCACTTCTGAATCTAATATTCTGCACATGCAAAAAGAGTTGTGATGGACTATGCAGCTGCAAAAAAGCCGGCATACTATAAGATGCTCGAATATATGTAGTCAAGGAACAGCATGTACCAACAGTATGTCCTACTTTCCAAGACGATGATTATGATGAATATGACATAGATACTAACAGTGGTGACATGGATAATGATGAGACCCATTACAGTTTTGCTGTGGAAGATTATAATGTAAATGATACTCCTGAGAATGAATGCACATTTGATACTGACCTTAATTATCACAACGGCACTGAATTTGACTCACAAATTTACTGAACACGTTGCAAAGAGAACGTAACTCATAAAAACACTTATCGTTAAATAGGCCTACAGGGGATACCACATTAAAAAAACAAAAACGCGCAAAGTATGTACCTCATGGGCGGTGTGGAAAACGGCCAGATGTAAAAATAAGGAGGGGTGAGGCCAGTAGTGAAGATTGTATTTTTATTTTCTCGGAAATTATTATTCTTACACAAAATCTGAATATACTAAAATGTGCAGAGTGTTATGCTCTTTTCTATTATAAATCTTCATCTCTCAAAAATCAAGTGTTAATGAGTAAAACATGAAAAACTGCGAATGACCGCCATTTTTTCAAGATGGCGACAAATGCTCATCTCGGCTCGGCCAGGATGCTTATTATGTTGTTTATAAACGTATTCTCACTATTTCTATCAAGTATCATTTCATTATGAATTAGTTCAACTTTTTTCCTAATTTTCCGTAAGGTATCAAAACTGAACGGTATATATAAAAAAAAGTTGATGAGGTCTCACATACGTCATATATAGTTTATTAAGGTCATGGGTTGTGCACAATGTACACAACATCTTCACTCGAGTAGCGGCCACATTTCACAAATATCACTCTTTATGACATTCCACAATACTCTTTACATCATTCAATCGTTTCAGCACATCTACAAAATAGCGAGCATGCTCTATTATCCACACATGGATAATTGCAGACCTGAAGCGGTCGGTTTAAATGTCCATGGAGAGAAAAGCTCTCCAGCCAAACTCAAATTTATGGTGTTACTGAAGTGTGTGGCACTTAACCGTCACAGGTACTGCACCAAATTAGTAGATTGTGGTAAGGCTAAAAAAAAAAAGGGGTTGATCTGTGCATTTCATAGTACAAAGGTCCCACTTGGCATAAGTGCTCCTTGGTGGAAGAGGAAAAAAATATCCAAAGAGACACTTTGTCTCCATGCATAGAACTCACTAATTAGTATAAATTATGTTAATTGGCACCCAAAAGCAATTTGTAACTTTTAAACCATTTCGCCTAGAAACAGGTCTGAGTAGTTGAACCTGGCTAATTTTAGGGTCAGGAATCCATTTTGTGGTTTATTTTGACAATTGGCAGCCATATTGACCCTCAAATCCCAGATGTCCACTGGCCGCCATCTTGAATATAGGCATACTTTACAACTTTTGAACCGTTTGAGCTACAAACTTGTGTGATATATTAATTTCTACTAATTTGGGGTTGAAAAAATAATTTAGGTCACTGCACGTGTGGAGTTACTTCCTAGCCCCCCATTAGTCCCTGTTCACCTAGCAGTAAAGTAGGTACCTGTTGTAAGTCGAAAGTTGCGAATTCGTATTCAGGGAAAGTTGTTGGAGCTTCCAATAACTTCATGACATAAACCACTGACTCATCAGGCTTCTACGCCCTTGACTCTTCAGGCTTCTATGCCCTTAAATCGTGAGACATAAAGGCAAGCATGAACTTAGCATGCTTCCCTTTTGGGCGCAATAAACGCTTCTGCGCTTCACCTTACACAAGGCTGTAGGGGTGTGCCCAAAAAAAAAAAAAAAACTGCACGTGTGATATAAGGTCATTTATAGGTGAATTATAGGATAGTTGCCATTAACTATATTAAAGAAAAACTTGATGCATTAAACATATGCTGATGGCATTTGAGCTCATGTAATGCGCGTTTTCTGAGGTCACGGCTGAGATAAAAACACCAACTTAACAAGAATCATCGGTAACTTTCATTTGAGTACGCACACAATGCAGATTTCAAAACAGTCATAATTACATACAGTTTTTACTGTTCTGACCTCACACGTTCACTGTGTGTGAACAGCCAGCCTTACATCCAGAGTGTTGTACAGGGCTGCTCATTCATGCAGCATGAACAGTAGCTAAAAAAGTATCTGACAGGGTGGGTCCGATGACTTCCGAAATTATACGTACAATTCGTGATGTCTCGGGAGGGTTGGTATGCGTGTCTTGACCCACCGCCATTCAGTATCCAACACAGGGGGTGAGTTGGCATATAGGAATAAAATAAACGGTGAAGCGATTATTATCACATCTCATAAGTAGACAACACGCATACCCCAATACCTATCGCCCATGGTCTCATATTGTTTTACACAGAGTATGCACAGATACTTTCTTTAGCTGCTGTACATGGGGGTTTACATTCACTGTAGCAGCCACAGATGGCAAGCTCCTGTAACTTCTTCGATATGGTAGGTATTGTGATATAACTTGGTACTGGGGCAGTTTCCACGGTCTCCTGTTTCCATCCCCATCCTGTGGGAAGTGCTGGTTGAGGATCTTTCTTAAGATAATTTCCCCACACGTCTGCCTGGGGCTAGGAGAGACACTTCAGCTTGATCCACTCTTTGAAGGATTGAGGAGCAGCAGCAACTAGAGCATTAGGAGGGGCAGTAGCAGCAACTTGCGTCGACTCAACATATTTGAAATAGGCCTTCTACATCAGAGTGTAGAGAGTTGTGACTGACACCTGGTGCACATATCGTGCCCTGTAGATTTGAGACACACCAAGGAAGGATTGTGCTGTCCCACGAGTGGCCACACCACTGTTCGTTATAGCTGTGGTCCACCCACTGCACTCCAGCCAGTCACCCGAGACTGCCCACATCTTTTCTTTGTGTATGGCCCCAAGCATAAAAGGTACTTGTCTTCAGCAATATCTGTATCTGCAAATTTCCACTGCAGGAG